GTTACCCAGAATGTCACTTGAAAGCAAATACACTTTGATTTCAAAATTTTGTATTGCGTTTCTTTCTTTTTTAAAAAGAGAAACCAGCAGAAGAACATTTAAAAAAGATGAACCTGTGGGATTGCTAACCTCAAAATACCCATTTGACAGTCCTGACTTTGGACTACATAGGTAAAAAGATTGTGGTATTCATCCGATCATCCTTTCCATTTTATCCAATGGATGTGTGTCCAGTGCCCTCTCTACTGCACTGTGGTGAGGCTAATGTGACGAATAGGGTGCTGCTTTGCGGTCAAAAAACTTAATGTCTCAGGGTTTGTTTTTTCTCTTACTTTCTGTTTCAAGTTTGTATTTCCAGCTAGTCTTAAAAAAAAACGTTGACTCCTGATTAAAAATCTGTAACCCAGAGATACGTCTCATTACTCTGCCAGTGGACAGTCCATTTAACTGAGGTACTAGAATCAGCACAAATAAAACAATGTTGTTGTTTGGTGCTATCGAGGTCTCTTGACTCGCAGTGGCCCTAGGCCCAACAGGACAAACCATTGCACAGTCCTGCGCCATCCTCACCACTGTTGCTCAAGACCAATGATGCAGCCCTTGGATCAGTCCAAATCCCGAAGGCATTCCTCGCTTTCGCTAGCCTTCCAGCTTCCTAAACACCATGTCCTTCTCCTGGGACTGGCCTCTTGATAACATGCCCAAAGTATGTGAGACCAGTCTTGCTATCCTTGCCTCTCAGGAGCACTCTGACCTTATTTCTTCAAATATGGATTTGTTTGTTCTTTACGCAGTCCATGGACCTTTCAACATTCGTCTCCATCACAACAACTCAAATGCTTCTAGTCCTCTACGGTCTTCCTTATGCCAAGTCCAACTTTCATATCGTACGCTGCAATGGAGAGTATCCTATGGCGTGGGTCAGGTGCACCTTAGTCTTCAAAGAAACATCCTTGCTCTCCAATACTCTAAACAGGCCTTGCACAGCAGATAGACCTAAAGCAAACTGTCTCTTGGTCTCTTGACTCCTGTTTCCGTGAGCATTGATTATAATCCAAGTAAAGCAACTTTCTTGACAACTGCAACCTTTTCTCCATTTATCGTGATATTACAGATTGTGAGGATTTTGGTGTGCTTGACATTGAGTTGTAATCCATACTGAAGGCTACAAAACAAAAAAAAAGGCTAGGGCTGGTTTTCGGAACCACTGAGAAAAAATGACTTGTATACGCCCTGTATGGGCACCCAAGGCCATATTACAGATGGAGGCGTTATTCCGGGGTCAGAGAACAATCAGCTTCCAGTTGCTCTCTCCTGAAGCTGCCCAGTGCGCAGATACTTGATTCCACCAGATTGTTGGGGGGCTCCACTGCTAGCCAAGGGTTTGGTGGTTTGAGACCTCCCAGAGGCATCTCAGAAGGCCGGCCTGTTGATCTACTTCTGAAAAAAAATCCGCCACTGAAAACCGTGGAGCCCAATTCTATGCTAGCACTCCTGAGGTTGACTGAAGGGGAACCTGCTGGGTACATTTCTGCCCCGTGCCGTCTTAAAGCTTTTTATGGCTCTGGGAAATCGACTCAAATGTAGTTTGGATTATTTCTCATCCTGTAGTTTGGATTATTTCTCATCCTGTTATCCTTTCTGGTGGCTTTTCCAATAAATACTGGTGAGTAAGACTTCCCAACGACTCATTGCACAATACTTAAAAACAAAAACAACCCGTTTTGGGTAATATTTTTGTTGTGGTTTGTTACGACTGTTGCTTTGGAAGAATTAGACCACTTTGGCTCTACAAGTCAGAGAGCATAGATGTCCCTGTTTTATCTTGTTGTTCCACTTACCAGCCACTAGCCTCTAGCACAAAACATGGCAAGCTAATTAACTCTCAAAAGTGTTTTGAATGAAGTAATAAACCCTTTGAATGATAGTGGGTTTTATTCACTAGGTAATAAGTCAGATTTGCATTTTTAATCTAGAAGGAACTGACTACCATTTCCTTAAGACCAACACAGTTCTTTTGATCTCCCTCTGCTGTAATTTTCCAGGAGAGGCTTCTAACAACCTACACCTTGCCCATTCTCATCCAGCTCTAGCCCTATCATCGTCAGTGATAATGCCAGAATGCACCCTGCCTTACTGGTGACTATTGAAATGAGACGATAGCTTCCCAGAAACTGCCTAGAAATCATCACTTTATTACCCTTTGAAAAGAAAATTGATAGAAAAGTCATTTGAAAGATCGTTCATTACCATGCCCTAGTACAATTTCCTTACTTGCATCTCTCCAAAGCATGAGAAAGGGAGGATTATTCTCTGAGGTCGGAATTTGAAGGCTGTGTGTTTGCCTCTTTGAAGTCTTGGTATTTAATTTTCTGTAGTCATTTCTTGGGCAATTTTCTAAGAAACTAGTTGAAGCTAATTTATCATAAGTTGAAGTCAAATGACAGAAAAGATTTACCCCCCCTCCCCAACAGCATTTTATTCCACAAGGGTTAGCTTCTGAAGGAAAATGAGACTTAAATAGCATTTTAAATCTCCAGCCACATGGGTGAGTACACAGAATAGAAAAGGGTTTTGGAAACCACACTGATTTTTTTTTTTTAATTTCCAACAGATTACTTGTGACTTTTCTTCCTAGACCATGATGTTCAGATAAGATGTTGTGTGCTCTTGAAAAGGCTTCCTAAAATAAGTAAATTGGTTGCTTAATTTTTCAAAGAAAGATCTTTGGTGCTCAAGGAATAGCAAACTTGGGTCTTGCCTTTTCTGTTTCAGACGTTTGAGATAACGGCATGTCGTTTGTTTAACCTTTCTGTTCCCCACTCACTGACATGGAGACGGGGTACTTACCTCTTCAAATGAAGGTGAGAAATCATGAGAGCTTTTCGAACACTCTTTGATAATCTCACTGAAACGGCTTTT